CTCCTGTTATCATTTGTCCGAGGAACAGAGAAGGAGATCTATTACAAGATGGGACAAAAAACAGGCAGGATGAAGTCAGATAAAAGTGGCCAGATGGCTAATGTGAGTCCATCTGTGGGTCATAGACTTTGGCAACAAATTCTAATCACAGGTTCGGCATGCAGAAAGTTCACTTACAAGCTACGATAAATTCCGATTTGCATAAAGGAATAAAACTGTGACTCTGAGGCTGAGCCATCTCAAATACCGTCTTTATGCAGCCACCGGAAATTTTATGTCAACGTCTACTGTGCATAAAAGGCTTCACGAAAAAAAATATATTAAGGAACGCCATAAAAAGGAACACGCCATAAAAAGGAACGTTAGAGGTAGGCTGAACAAGGTGTTCACTGGACGGCTGACCGGTAACGGTCTGTTCTCTTCACATATGAGCCCCAGGCTTAGCCACCAAAACTATAGTAGGGGTTATTTGATTTGGAGAGAACCTAGAACCCAATATCATCCATCAAACATGCGTGAAAGAGATGCATACCAAGGAGACAGTGTCTGTGTCTGGGATGGTATCTCTGCAGATGACAGCACACTTTGACCGATTCAATATATTTTATACTCTTATGATTTTCAAACTAATAGAACAGAGTTTTATGCAGACGACACAGGAATTATCATCAAATCAAGAAATCCAAATATAGCATTACGGAAACTGAAGGATCAAATGCATAAAAAAGAAGACTGATGCGTTAAATGGGAAACAGCCGTAAATGCAGACAAATTTCAAATCCTAATCATACCGAAAATAGGAATAAAAATACTATCACAATGCAAACAAAAACTGTTCTATATCAAAATACCAATAGTGAAAAAAGTAAACTACTTCGGCGTTATAATAAACAGCAAACTCACCTAATATGACCATATCAAAAATATAATAGAGAAAGCAAATGCAGCAACAACAATAATACAACTACTCATATATAACCAGAATGTTTCATTAAAACTAAGAAAACTACTGTATACGTCAATGATCAGACCAATTGCCACATATGCCTCACCTTCCGGGACAACCATACCGGAAAATCTCATGAAAAAACTCAATCAATGCCAGAACAAGATACTCAGAAAAATCACCCGTGCCAGATGGTTCAGCAGAAATACATATACCCACAAAGACCTCAAGATCCCGACCTTGTCACAATATATTTACAAATTAAATGCAGATTTCCATGACAAGGCCCTAAAATGCAGTGCAGTGAACTTTAACCAGATAGTATTCAGTTTTGAAAATTACAAAAAAGAGATAAAATTAGGACCAATAGCTGCTCACTTTACATCAGACAGCTCATATTACAATCAGTCAAAATAAATGACAAATCACAGATCCACCCATACCATCAGATTCAACAAAAATATTGATGGCTTGATCAAGCATTTCCCCACGTTGACCATTAATCTACATTCAAAGTCACGCATAATTGACGGAAAGCCTGTATCTTATAATTTCCATTACTATTACTCAAGTAAGGTGCTTGAATCCCGCTAACAGCCACCACATAGACTGCTAACCTTAAAGTTCTAAAGCAAATATAAGAAACATAATGGATGGGATAGGGGCCGCTAAGCTGCCCAGGTGCCCAGCTCAAATTTCAAGACAAGTAATTTGTCATATTAAAAAATATAAAGTATCGCTAGAAATGCAACATTATTACTGTCGTCTTGAAGTAAAACCTTTAAAGAGTGATCGTTAATTCTACATGGTTAACTCTTCAATTCGCTATCAATTTATTAGAATTTTGCGGAAAGCAGAGAAGTTTTTAATTCTTGTCTCTTATTGAAAGTGGATTCCTTAAATTTTCAGCAAGAATAATTTGAAATTTAACTAATAGTGTTATTAAACAAACAACAAATAAATAAAATTTCAACCACTTTTTATATTTTACTTGCCTCTATGACGTCGCTGCATCTTTTGTAAAGAATACGACTTCAGCGTGATAAATGGCAGCTATGAATTAATAATATTTGTTTGCTATCGAAAAAAGTAATATCGATTATTTTTTTTCCATTGCAAATTAACATAATTTGTCTCACCGTAAACGTAATTGTATTATCTCCTTCCTCCTACCACTTTCTACGAAGCGGAAAAGTGGGAACTCTTGGTAGGCACACAAATTAAATTTTAAAAAAATCTGAATAGAAATATATAAGTAACTTGTATAAAAACTGTACCTTGCAGAATGAAATCGATTGCGAATTTGAATTCAGCGACAGAAAAATAGCNTCTCTATGGCGTTTAACATTACGAATCGATCGATATTGAGTCAGAAATGAACAGACTGAGTCAAAAATGACCAACTATATACTACTATTATAGCGTGAATAAATGCACCTTTTGTATAGCTGAAAATGATAAGTGTCTTTTCTCGAACAGAACTTTCAGACAGACCTAATTATCTATATTTGTGTTTATAATTGAACAAATTTTTAATTGTTGAAAAGTCTATTCAAGAGCGATGCGTAAACGGAAGAAATTTTCACACCTAAAAGAAGAATACGTATCAACCAATCAATAGAACTCAAAGGAAGACCTTTTTATTATCAATTACTATCACAACTTTAAACAAAATTTTTAATACATTGAGAAACCTTCAGAAATAATCACCTTTTTTTATTTTCAGTATCTACCAGGCAAATGCATTGCTGTCAGATACCTTTATTAGATATGGTAAGTGATTGTATAGACTTATTTTAGAATTAACAAAATTAAAAGTTATATTAAATATATTTTATTTTCTGAAACGGTAGTTTCTAAAATTCGATCAACTTCATTTCTATCACAACATTTGTCACGTTAACCCTTTCGCGCCGACTGCAACAAATACGTGCCAGCATAAAACCGTATCAACCAGGGTAAAAAGATAAAACTGGTAATCAAAGTAATTCTTTAGCAGTTTATTTGTGGGCTGAGTTATAATTGTTTGATTTATTTAATTCACCATTATTTTGTTCAAGATAAAACTATTTAGTTATTCTTTGAATTAACATTGATTATATATATGATTAAACTAACAATAATTAAAGTAAAAGTAAAACAAGTCTTTCAAACTAGCAACGACTACATTTAAGTTACCGCTTTTTATTTAATTACAGCTTGATTCTGATTTTGTATGAATGCTTTTCTGAATCACCCGTCCCCAAGGTTTTATAGGAGGCAGTATTTATTTTGTATTTAAAATTACATTTCCTAAAGCGTTGAGCGCCGCATCAGCAATCGGTGACTGACCCTGGACTTTCCATTTAGGCCGCGTCAACCACCGGTGGCTGAGACTGAAATAACATTTAGTCTGCGTCAACCACCGGTGGCTGACACTGAAATTACATATAGGCTGAGTCTACCACCGCTTGCTGACACTGACCTTTCACATAGATCGCGAAAAACAGCTGGCTGACATCGTATAACATGATATAGAACTATAAAATTTACACTCTTTTATGGAATTGCAGAAAATTTATTCAAAATTTACTTAATTATTATGATTCTTGATTTAATAAATTCAATTTAGTAGATTTTTATCTATCACTATTTTTAAACAATTCGTAATTATATATAATTCGCCACTTTTTTCTGATATATCGTGCATGCAGCACCCGCCTTCGGGGGGGGGGCTAAGACANGGGGGGGGGGGGTCTGCTAAGACAAATCTTAAACTCTTGCAGAGTGCTTATAACAAAACCCTGGTGTTTCAGGAACAAAAATATCCGTAATTACGCCTAGCCTTCTCGACTTATACAAAAGTAGTTCTCTTAAGTATTTTCTTAAGAGCACTGGACCAATACCTCCTAGATGGAAGAAAGCCGAAGAACGCAAAACGATGACTCATACAGTTAGGTCCAGATTTGCTAATCACTTCTGACGAAGCTTCTCTTTTTCCCTTCTGTTTCTCGACACTTTTTCGTTACTCTTCTACTAATTTTTTACTTTCTACAAATTATTATTATTATTTTTTTTGTCTAGATTAAATGTTCTTAAATTGTGTAAAAATGCTTAATATATTTATTTGTTTTCAGAAATGATTAACAATAAATCAATTCTAACAAAAATAACTGTTGTGTGAATGAAAAAAAATATATTTTTAAGCATTAAATATCAGTTTTATTTTATAAATTGGAAAATTTTATCTAACTTTTTGTTATAAAATGTATGGATTAAAAACAAAGAAATATATTTTTAAAGGGATTTTACACATTTATTATTATTATAGTTTTGACATAAAACTAAGAAAGGGGTCTAATTTTTATAATATGATACTTACATTTTTAGTAGATGATTATTTTGGATTTTAATGATTATGTTTTGCATGTTATTAGAACTAGAGCATACGAAATAAAATAGAAATTGTTTATAAACAATGACATAAAATGAGCTTAAAAAAATTTAGAAAATCAAATGCAGTCTTCAAACAAGGTTTAGATAGTAAAAAAAAACATATCAAAAGCATGATTATAATTTGTATTTTTTTCCTGTGGAAGTGTGATTGTTAGAAGTGATAAACTAAAATTAAAGTAAGCAACCTTAGATAACAAATATTTTATTAAATAGCAAATTCAAAAAACGATAAATAAAATGTAAACACAAATTTTACTGAAATATGTTAAACTTTCAGTAACATTTAAAAAAGTATAATTTTTACCCATCACACTGATAAACTAAAATAAAGTAAGCAACCTTAGATAACAAATATTTTATTAAGTAGCAAATTCAAAAAATGATAAATAAAATGTATTTACTGAAATATGTTAAACTTTCAGTAACATTTAAAAAAGTATAATTTTTACCCGTCACACTGATAAACTAAAATAAAGTAAGCAACCTTAGATAATAAATATTTTATTAAATAGCAAATTCAAAAAATGATAAATAAAATGTAAACATAAATTTTACTGATATATGTTTAACTTTCAGTAGCATTTAAAAATAATTCTAATGTCATTTAATATCTCTTTTCTAATGTCATTTTCCTTGAAATGCATCTCACATACCTATAACAAAATGAATACAATATTTATATGTGCATTTAAAATAAATAGTACATACTATATTCATGTATGAAAAATTAATAGATTTTTGTAGAAAAATTAATAGATTTAAATTTCATAATCAAATAAAAAAAATTTTGCTTTAAGCAGTTACAATATATTATGGTCAAACAAAAATGTTTAAAGTTTGAGCAAAAATTTAATAAAATACTAAAATTATTAATATTTTTATAAAATAAAACTCTATAAAAATAACTATATATTACAATAGTTTGCGATATGATTGATAAGAACAACTTAATTATTATAAATAATTTATCCACAATTTAAAATAATTTACTCTTAGTAAAAATATAATAAAGAAGCATAATTAAATTTTTAAAAATAAAAACAAATATTACTCACTTTAGAATTCTTTGCAACTTCAAAATCTCTTGGCATGGCGGCAAGCCATTTCTTACGTATTGGGAAATCCAAAATTTCATACTTTTGTACCATCAACTTTGTAAAATCCTCAGCAGTTTGGTACACAGCACTCATATGCAATTATTCATAACACTAAGAATTAAATTAATGCTGACATTTATAACATTTGTAGAATAAATATAAATTTTACGAAGAACGTTGACACCAGAACACACACGGTTGTTTACAAATTCAAATCAAAAATATTCGCCAATTGGCTGAATGCCGACACAGGTTATAATACTTGAGAATATCGCCAATGGCTCGTTTGATCAGATTCGGAGTTTTTCGTAAAAATAGCTACCCTGACTGGTTTTCCTCTGGGCCTAACTCTACTACGTCATCATCGCCTATAGTAACCCGTTGTGAGGCTTGATTCCTTTCTAGGAGGTATTGCCTGGACTCTCCAACCCCCTTATATGGTCTTCCTCTAACTACGACCCAGATGACCCTGAGTACAGGAGACGGCCTAAGGCAATACTATAATAATCTCCATGACCTGGTTTGAGTCGTATTGCTGATTTTTCTATCCCCCTGACTGACTCCTCTATCATCATCACCCTTTTCCATCTTCTTGGGTTGGCCCAATCCTTCGCGTAATTACTGCGGCTCATTCTGATTCAATTTACTAACACAACTACTAACAATGCTAATCACGAACTGCTTATTTGTCAATAATTATAAGTAAAAAATAAATAATAATTTATAAAAAATAATTTTCTTTGTTTTATTGTTTATGTTATTACCTGTCTGTGTTATCCCTGTTCTATCTTTTTTTCCACAATATTATTTAACTGTCCGCAATATTGTGAACTTAATGTTAACAACACTGTTCCACAATATTGTTAACTTTAAGTTCACTAACCCAAATTATTTTAATATCAATGGCCTTTGATTCAGTTTGTAATCATATAATTTACGGAGGTGGCCTTTTTGACCAGGTATTCCGGTGCACCAAGTATTAGTTTCCGCAGATATGTCATGCTAAAACTTTTATAAACTAGTAAAAATCTATCGAAGTTTGTAGTAATTTACCGTGTGGCCTGACGAGCAAATCATGTAAAATTAGCGTGGAATTCAGCGTGTTAAAATGATTTAATAATTCACAAACCATAAAATTCAAACTTTTTTGAACTGTATTCGCAAAACTATCTATAAATTATAAATAATTATTTAAAGATAATTTTTTGCATAGAATTATCTTTGGATTAATGAATTTTATAACTGTGTAAAAAATGTTTCGATAAACTTGAAAATTCGTCGATATATTGTGAAACACGCAAAAAGTAAAATTTAAATTAACCCTTTGGGGACGGGTGATTCAGAAGAGCATTCATTCAGAATCAAGTGGTAATTAAATAAAAACGGTAACTGAAATGTAGTCGTTTGTAATTTGACAGACTCACTTTGCTTTTACTTGAATCAATGTTCGTTCGTTCGTTGTTGTAGAACCAGGGCTGAAAGCCCTTATATATCAAGACAGAAGAGAGTAAAAACTGGTAACAAATAAATTTATTTTTTTAGCTATTTTTGGGGAATAATAAAAATCAATAACTACCAATTGTTTTTAATGGATGCAATTTTTATATTGAATTGCTTCTTCGCTGTTATAAATTTCCTTACAGTGAATTGTTATTGTTAAGAATAGATTAACTTCTCCCGAATATTATCTAATATTGAAATAGTTCTTCTACCTGTATTTTCTCTTTTCCGTCCCGCTTTCAGGCGCATCACCCGGCGTGAACGTGTAAAGGCAATATCCGCACCATGAGTAAGATGGCATTCGAGCGATGGCCTGTGTGTACGAATTCTATCGTTAGCTAGAACTCTGCTTTTTTTTCAATAGATGAATAACTAATAGTAATTTGAAGCGAAATTTCGAGACATTTTACTAAAATCGATATGTGAAACGCAAATTCAGATTATGAGGTACAAACTATCGCCAGATCAAACAGAAAGCCTCTACGCGGTTTTCTGAGGGTAGTCCCATTTACTATAGTGCATAAAATATATAGAATCGATCCAAGTATGCTGTCATCTGCAGCGATACCGCGATACCATCCCACACACATACACTGTCTCCTTGGTATGCATCTCTTTCACGGATATTTGATGGATGATATTGGGTTCTAGGTTCTCACCAAATCAAACAACGCCTACTATGGTTTTGGTGGCTAAACCTGGACTCATCTGTGAAGTGAACAGCCCTTCATCGGTCAGCCGTCCAGTGGACACCATGTTCAGTATACCTCTAACGTTCCTTTTTAGGGCGTGACTTTCATGAAGCCTTTTATGCACAGTAGACGCTGACATAAATTTTCCGGTGGCTGCATTAAGAGAGTATTTGAGCTGGCTCAGTGATACATGAAATACATGATATAGAAGACAGGTGCGTTAAATGGAAAGCAGCCATAAATGCAGACAAATTTCAAATCCTAATCATACAGAAAGCAGGAATAAAAATACTACTACGGCCTTTACCTCTACATACTACCTCGGCCTTGTAATAAACAGCAAGTTCACCTGAAATGACCTACCAAAATATTATAGACTCAAATAAATCTATATATCTATAAATATTATAGAATCAATATATAATATCACCTATCAAAAATATAATATACAAAGCAAATACAGCAACAACAATAATACAACCACTCATCTATAACCAGAATGCCTCATTAAAACTAAGAAGACTACTATATAAGCCAATGATCAGACCAATTCTCACATATTCTGGACAACCATACCGGAACATCTCATGAAAAAAACTTAGCCAATGCCAGAACAAGATACTCAGAAAAATCACCCGTGCCAGATGGTTCATCAAAAATACAAATATCCACAAAGACCTCAAGATCCCGACGTTAACGCAGTATATTAACAAATTAAATGCAGATCTCTGTGACAAGCCCCCAACATGCAGTGCAGTGAACTTCATAAAAGGACATAAAATTAAGAACAATGGCTGCGCACTTTACATCCGACGCCTCATATCACAATCATCAAAATAAAAACCTAATCATAGATCCTCCCATGGCATGAGATTCAACAACAATACTGCCCAGGTGCCCAGCTCAAATTTCAAGATAAGTAGTTTGACATATTAAAAAATATGAAGTATCGTTAGAAATGCAACATTAATACTGTTGTCTCGTAGTAAAACTTTTAAAGAGTGTGCGTTAATTCTACATGGTTTACTCTTCAATTCGCTATCAATTTGTTAGAACTTTTCAGAAAGTGGAGAAATTTTTATTTCTAGTTTACTATTGAAAGTGGATTTCGAAAGCTCAACTTGATGAACACAAGCTCAGGTTGATAAATGGTAGCAGTGAATTAATAAAATTTGTTTGTTAGGGAAAAAAGTAATATCGATTAATTTTTCCTTGACAAACTAACATAATTTATCGCACCGCAAACGTAATTGTATTATCTCCTTCTTCCTACCACTTTCTACGTAGCGGAGAAGTGGGAACTCTTAGTAGGCACTCAAATTAAATTTTAAAAAATTCTGGATAGAAGTTTATAATTAAATTGCATAAAAACTGTATCTTGTAGAGTGAAATCGATTGCGAATTTGTATTCTGCGGCGAAAAAATATCCAAATTACCGGTTAAAAACCTATTGCATTGGAAAATATTTGAAAAAAATTGTAAATCAGTATAGCGTGAATAAAGCGTGATCAATAGCGTAAATAAATGCACTTTTTGCATATCTGAAAATGATACGTGTCTTTTCGCGAACAAAACTTTCAGACAGATCTAATTATCTATATTTGTATTTATAATTGAACCGCATTTCTATAGCTGAAAAGCCTGTTCAAGAGTGATGCGTAAACAGAAGATATTTTAAGATTTAAAAGAATACTTTTCAACCAATCTTCTGATCTCAAAAGAAGTCCTTTTTATTATCAATTTACTATCAAAACTTTTACCAATTTCTTTTAAATATTAAAATAAACTTTTTCTAGGCACTTCAATGAAATATAAAATCCACAGGGCAGCATTCTGGGACCGATATACATATTATACACTTACGATTTTCCT